CCGCCAGACTCAAAGCGGCACACACCGGCACTGGGACTCAGTAAGAGCACCGCACCGATCCCATACCTTACCTGATCCTCTGCAGCCATGCCCAGGAGGAAAAAAACGGCGGATCAGCCAGGTAAACTGACCCTATTCTTCCCTGCAGTCGGGCCAGGAATCCAAGATGGCGCCCGCGGCTGCAAAGAGGGAGAGGAAGGCAGAGACCAGCAGGAGGACTACAGGTCCCAGCAAAGGGATCCCAGGCTGCAGCACCTGCTCTACCCCGGGGACCCTGGTGAGTTGTCACCCCCACTATCCCCTACATCACGAAGCCCGGCTAAATCCAAGCCGTGGCTAGAGCAGGATCCCAGCGCATTATTACAGGCTTCGGAAACCACAACACATATATCAGATATAGACGCATTCCCTGCGTCAGATATACCGCTCACAGAGATATGCATGAGAAATATGCTCACATCCCTGCGCCAAACGCTACATAATGATATCCTCACGTCACTTAGCCAATTGTCAAATATAGTACAACATCAGGAGCGCAGAATAAGCCACATTGAGAACAACATAGGAGACATCATTACGGCGCACAACAACTTAATTGACGCTCATGCAGACCACTCAGCTGACATAGAACAAATTAACCAAAAATTGGCCGACCTGGAAGATAGGTCAAGGCGCAATAATATTAAGTTCAGAGGAATACCTGAATTTGTGGCAAACGATGACCTAATCCCATACATACAGCAATTTGTCAAAATCCTCGTGCCATCAGTATCTGACCTAGAACTTGCAATTGACCGTGCGCACCGCCTACCCAAACCCTCTTTTTTACCAGCATCTACACCTAGAGATGTCTTAGCACGTATTCATTTCTACCACGTGAAAGACAAAATCATGTCGGCAGCCCGAAATCCGCCACCGATCCCGCCGTCACACACCAATCTCCGCTTATATGCGGATTTATCTAAGGCGACCCTCCTTAACAGGAAACGCATGCTGTCAATCACCAAAGCCCTCATAAACCACGGCATAGCCTACCAATGGGGATTCCCCACCAAGTTAACGGTGCGACAAAATGGTAGGATCTTTACCATCAAAACATTGTAAGCAGGCCTGGATTTGCTAAAAACCTGGAATATCATCCCTGCGGAAACACAGGAACCTACGCATAGTTCTATGGACGCAACATAGCCCTTACAGGGCACACTTTTCTTTACCACTCAGCATACTCATCCGCTCTCCCAGGAGCCACTCATACACTTAATTTGTCTGGCGTTTGGCCTAAACCCTTCAACTCTGATCAAAGGTTTTTTTTCCTTCTTGCAATTAGCCTGACCACCACCCGGCGGTCAAGCTCTCCTGAACCCCCCAGTTTAGAGGTAGCAAAATTGGCTACTCGTGATGTTTGCATTTTTCGCAAATGGTTTTTTATTGTTTCCCTTATCCTCACCCCTTCCTTACCCTGGCACCATTGGACATCCACTCCATACCCTAAGATCATCTACGGCGACACAGATTGGAATACTCTTTTTATCGCTTCAATTGAGTCACACATACGCCACATACATTCGATCATCCACCCTCATGGAAAAATACATACTCATCCGATTCTCCCAAATAACACTCCAGTTAACGGAAAATCCTGGAATTACAAATACCAATGATTAACTTTCTGTCCTTAAACGTCCGAGGTCTCAATTCACCTTATAAACGGTCACTACTATCTAAAGAAGCACGGAAGTCACGAGCGGACATACTCTTTATACAGGAAACACACTTCGCTACTAATAAATCACCCAAATTATACCTTCATCGATTTTCTCAAATATTCATGGCGACCAACACCACTAAGAAAAATGGAGTGCTCACAGCCATAAATGACTCTCTTTCATTCCGTATTATTTCACAGACAGCGGATCCACAAGGACGCTTTCATATATTAGTGTGCCAAATAAATGACAAGACCCACACTCTAGTGAATGTTTATGGCCCAAACTGCAAACAGTTACGCTTCTACCGTAAACTTTTCAAAACCATCTCCCTACATAAACAAGGGAAACTCATCGTTGGTGGCGATTTTAACATTTTGGGGAATTCGGATATAGACTCATCTTCCACTCCCACATATACTAAACCTACCTTTAACCAATTTCTTCACGACAATGACCTCTATGATATTTGGAGATGTCAACATGGCTCTGAACGGGACTATACGTGCTACTCCCCTCCGCATCTTTCCTACTCACGAATAGACATGTTTATAACAGACAAATGGACACTACAACAAGTGACATCATCCAAGATAGGGACCATTACCTGGTCCGACCATGCTCCGATCCAAATATCCTTGGTCGACAATCAAAGAACAACATTATCACCTATCTGGAGACTCAACCCCGCTCTTTTAGCTACACCGGAAAATTTGAAACACATCCAAGAAGCTCACAAACTTTTCTTTGATATTAATTCCACCCCTGATATATCCATTACCACGCTCTGGCCGGCTTACAAGGCCTACATGAGAGGTATCCTCATCCAACTAAACTCCCGCATTAAGAGACAACAGTCTCAACAAATTGACCAACTTATGACTTCTATCCGCCTTAACGAAAAACTGAATAAACAGCACCCAAATCCAGCCACAATAGCGACCCTAAACTCTGATAGAAATAAATTACGAACCATTTTTCTACAGACATATGACGCCAATCTGCAAAAAACAAAAACCAGATTTTATGCACTAGGTAACAAAGCTAACTCACTCCTTAGCAAGACTATTAAACAAGAAAATATGCAGCCCCATTATCTTTTTATATGTTGGCACAGACTGAAAGTACTTCACCAAAGATAATATTTATATTGCAGGAGATGCCTAATTTGATAATAAACTCTATGCAGACTTTGAGACTCAACTTTATGAATAGGGTAATGGGATATAGGCAAAGTCATGTTGGCAGTGTAATAATGCCAAATTTGCAAAAAAGAAAAGACTGAATTTTTCGGCAATTTTTAGAAAGCTATAGCTGGCTGCAGATTAAAATGGAAAGGTAACTTTTGATATTACGTTACAAAATGGTTAAAGTAACAATTATATAGTAACAATTATATTTGTTATTTGTTGGAAGTGTAGTTTTTCTTTATGCGCAGATTCTTTGCTGCATTTTTTCTGAAATGGGATAAAAAATAAGGATGTTGTCAGGAGCTTGTAGTGCTCTTGCTCCATCATAGATGCTGGTCTCATTCCAGCATACTGGTTTTGGCTGTGATACATTCTGCCTGTCTGTCTGTTCACCTGCAAGGTGATTGATGTGGCCAGTCTCTGGGTGGAGACCAAAACCTGATTTAAGCCAGCCAAGCCTGCAGTCACATGCTTTAATGGTGCTGGTTACACGTGCTCAAGTTTCCTGTTTGTCTATCCTGCTCTGCTGTCTGGATTCCCTCGTTGACAACCTTGGATCAGATATTGACTATTCTCTGATCTCTCCCTGCCTCTTGACTATGGATTTGACCCTGACTATTCTAAACCTTGCCTGCCTTGTAAATGGACTGCCATTGAACTACTCTACCTGTCTACCAGCTGCAAGTACCTGTTTTCTGTGCTCAGTTCGCACCTGCCCCAGCATAGTGGCCAGGCACTATAGCATTGCGTATAAGTCCTGAGGGCAACCGAGTTCTGGGATGATCTGCTTGCCCTATGAGAAAATGGGCTGCTATAGGTGAAGAACACAGAAGCCAGCTATAGTGCCTGACCACCTGTGTTAGGGGTAAGTGTGAAAACAGGTATGTGTAATATGAATTTTTTTTTTAATTATTCAGCAAGAGCTAATTGTATGTCATTTTAAATTGTGTGCAGTAGTAATCCTGACTCGTGCTGTAAATAAACCCACACTTTTTTCACACCAGTTGTCCAAATATGACCTTCACAAGAAGCAAAAGTAGACATTCAAAAAATTAATAAGTAGGTATAGCACTGGGATGAACAAACCAAAAAAATTAAATGGACTACAGAGAGAAACAGTGATAGCAGAAAAAGACCAAGTGATCCACTGAGTCTTTTTTAATTTTTTTCATTCTTTTTGTCTATCTATGTTTGTCCTAAGCATCTTTAGGCTCCATGCACACTGGGCGTTTTAATAATGCTGGTAACGTTAGCTGTGTAAAGTCACATTAAAAACGTGAATTTTTCAGCATTTTTTAGTGTTTTTGCATTAGCGTTTATCCGTTTTTTTTTTTGCGTTTGTATTTTTTACAGCTAAAAATCTCCTCTAGAAACCCACTAGTCCAGCCAAAAAACGTCCCTGCCAAAAAACGTTGATTACAGTCTATGTGTGCATGGACACATAGGATTACATGCTGGGGAGTTTACTGGCTGTAGAAAAAACATCAAAACCCCAAAACAGCAGCTGTAAAAACATCCAGTGTACATGAGGACTAAAATTTGCTCACTTTGACTGACTCGCTACATCTGCTGGACATCTTTTCCAAGCATGAACTGCCTACTGGGCACTTCTACCCCCTTCCTGCCCAATTTTCAGCTTTCAGCGCTGTTGCACTTTGAATGACAACTGCGCGGTCCTGCAACACTGTACCCATATGAAATTTTTATCATTTTTTTTAGACAGATGGTGGTATTTAATCACCTCTGGGTTTTTTATTTTTTGCTAAACAAACCAAAAACCACTGAAAATTTTAGGAGAAAAAATGTTTTTTTCTTAGTTTTTTTTATAAAATTTTGTAAATAACTGATTTTTTTTTTCCTTCACTGATGTGCGCTAATGAGGCTGCAGTGATGGGCACTGATAGGCTGCACTGATGGACACTGACAGGTGGCACTGATGGGCACTGAAGAGGAGGCACTGGTAGGTGGCACTGATGGGCATTGACAGGCATCACTGATGGGCACTGAAAGGCAGCACTCATATATGGCACTGATAGGGGGCACTGATAGGTGGCACTGATAGGCGGTACTGACTGGCACTGTTAGGTGGCACTGTTAGGTGTCACTGATAGGCAGCACTAATGGGCACTGATAGTCGGAACTGATGCGCACTGATAGTCGGCACTGACTGGCACTGATAGGCGTCACTGACTGGCACTGATTGGCAGCACTGATAGGTGGCACTGACTGGCACTGATAGGTGACACTGAAAGGCAGTTCAGAAGGGCACTGATATGTTGCATTAATGTGCACTGGTAGGCACTGATATGTGGCATTGATGTGGCACTGATGGGCACTGGCACGTGGCACTGATGAGCACTGACAGCTGGCATTGATGGACACTGACAGGTGGCACTGCTGGGGCTACACAGATCATCAGGGCACACTGATCATCAGTGCCCTGATGATCAGTGTACATATCCCCTCCGAGGAATGCCGATTACCAGCTCTCCTATCCTCTTGAGCTGTCAGCATGACAGCTTGTGAGGAAAGAAATGCCGATACCCGGCATTTCCCTATTTACATGCAATCAGCTGTGGTTGGACACAGCTGATCACATGACTGAGCCGAAATCTTCGGCTCTTTCTATTGTTTGGTGATCTGCTGTGTCCGAGGGACACAGCGCACCGCCGATTGCCACGCTGCGCGCTCCCGGAGCCACGCATGCTCGGTTAGAATGGGAGGACGTCACATGACGTCCTCCCAGAATGAGAGAACCACTTTGCGCCCCGTCATTGGACTATATGGCGGGCGTGAGGTGGTTAAGATGATGAAAAAGTATTTTATTGCTCTGATCAACCGATCAATACTTGAACATTGTGGGACTTTGTTGCTGCAGTGGCAATCAGCATTTGACTAAAGTAGGGAAGAGCAGCCAAGCATCCAGTCAGGCTTCTGGGAAAGAAACTTACGATAATTAGAGAAATCACATGAAAAGATATAGTAAAATATTTACAAAAATGTGAGGGGTGTACTCACTTCTGTGAGATGCTATACGTGAAATAATGTATGCTTGCTAGGTTTTCCCTGAAGGGAAGGGGAGGGAAGACAACCTAAGGTATTCTTGTGCAAGTGCTCCTTTCCATCATAATCTGCCATTGAGAGGGCCCACAGAAAGAAACTTGAGATAATTCTAGAAATCAAACACACAAAAAAAATTACAAAGATAAATGGTTCCATAGAATACAACAATTACCAAAATGATTCCAAAGAAGTATACTCAAATTAATAGAGTAATAAAGAAGGATTTAAGTTTAGGGTTCTACAAGCTTAATGAAACATAATGTTGGAACCTCAAAACTTTTCGGAAAGAAAACAAAGGTCTTATCTTCAAGAGGGGTCTTTTGGTAATTAGCTTATATTTGCAACAAATGGCACACAGACTGTTTGCTCTGCGTGTGTGCAACACAACTGGTGTTTACCCTATTATGTAGCAATTTAAGCACATACCACAAAGTTTATCAACAGGGGAGAACTAAATCATTTCAGCAATATAATGTATAGGCTGTAAAAGACAAGATTTATAAACCTCCATTCACTGTAATAATATTTTTACTTGTGAAATGACAGCAAATTTCCTTTTCCATTAATACTTTCTATTGCCTGGTATTTTTAGCAAATGAGTTGTCAGCAGAAAGGCTTCATTAGACTCATCAGGACATCGGCCCATGAATAACGATTCCCAAACTGTACTGACAGTTTCCTTGAGCCAAAATGATGAAGCACCTCTGACAAAAGCCATATTGTGCTCTCCATGAGAGGAGAGGGAAGAACAAGAGAGACAGTTTGCTCTTAATTTGGTCAGGTTAATATTGACACAGTTAGTTCCAGAGACTCCAGAATTATGTTCGTTTGACTTTATTTCCTTGCTTGACAGATATCAGTTACAAGTTAATATTTTAAGCAGTCTTTCACGCAAATTATGCAAAGTGCTAAAGGTTCACAAAGAGCATTTAGAACCAATGTTTGCTCACTTATAGCTAGCTGGGAGAAATAAACAACTTTTAATGTTTTTTTTGTTTTTAATGTAAACTCTACCTGAATAACATTTAGTTTGCTTAACCACTTCCATTCCGGACACTTTTACCCCCTTCCTGTCCAGGCCAATTTTCAGCTTTCAGTGCTATCACACTTTGAATGACAATTGCACGGTCATGCAACACTGTATCCATATGCATTTTTTTTAGCATTTTTTTGAGACAGATAAAACTTTATTTTGGTAGTTTTTTATTCTCCACTTGGATTTTTATTTTTTTTTTTGTTACATAAATGAAAATATCCAAACATTTTGAAAAAAATTGTTTTTTCTTATAAAATTTTGCAAATAAATAATCTTTCTTCCTAAATCTTGGCCAAAATGTATTCAGTTATCTTTTTTAGTAAAAAAAAAAAAGATAACCCAAATTAGTTTATAATCAAAAATTATAATTTTTCTAAATTTTGTTTTTACGTTTTTATTTTTTTTATATATTATTTTTTACTGTCACCCTAGCAGTACAGAGTCACCATGGTGACACTGTACTACTTGAGGGGGGTGATGAAGATTTTTTTTTTGTAAAACTGATTGCTTTTACACCCATAAAGGCTGTAAAAGCAATCATTTCTCTTTCTCTCTGGCTGCATTCTTGCCGCTATTGAGAAATGCTGTGAGAGCTGTGATTCGTCACAGCTTTTCACATGGTACAAGGCTGTTGTGAATAGCCTTGTACCATGTGACCTCTGTGATCATCATTCACAGATTTCACACATAGTAAGCAATGATGTTAGAAGTGATATCTTGCTTACTACTATTGGCCAATCAGTGATCACATGATCAGGACCTCACATAGAGGTCCCATACAGCGATCCGGACACGGGGCACTGGATCGCAGTGCCGAGCACTCACAGGGAGCATGCACAAGCAGGGAAGCGGGAGGATGTTTATAAACGGCAACCCACCCCTGCACTGCTCCCGTCCAGCCGTTTATGTACATGGGCAGGACGGGAAGCGGTTAAAGAATATGTTACCCCAGCTTTTCATATTCCTGATATGTGCCTTTTGAACCATGTACATGTATTAAAAAGCATCCTGTTTTCTTTTTACTGCTTCCTTTGTGTGAAATACCTGGTGTTCCAGCCAGTCCCTCTGTTTTTCTATTACAAACTGACTACACCAGGCATGAGAGCACATCCATCCCAGCATGATTGGTTTTCTGGCTGTGCTGGGATCACAGCCTTCCTCCCCTCCAATGAACAAATGTGTGCTTACTTCCTCCTTGTGCAGCCAATCACTGGGAGGATCAGTGTGCTGCTGTTTCTGCACCCTCATTCCTCCAAGTCCCTTATGCAGCTGAGAACAGAGATTATATGGTAAAAAAAAAGAAAAAAAAGTAAGTATCTCAAATTGAATGGGCTGTTTTACAAGGAAAGAGTTCACATACACTCACTGGCCAATTTATTAGGTACTCCTTGCTAGTACCAGGTTGGACCCTCTTTTGCCTTCAGAACTGCCTTAATTCTTCATGGCATAGATTCAACAAGGTGATGGAAACATTCCTCAGAGATTTTGTTCCATATTGACATGAGTTACTGTTACCTTTCTATCATCTTGGACCAGTCTGCCCATTCTCCTCTGACATCAACAAGGCATTTTCGTCCACACAACTGCCGCTCACTGGATATTTTCTCTTTTTCGGACCATTTTCTGTAAATCCTAGAGATGGTTGTGCATGAAAATCCCAGTAGATCAGCAGTTTTTTTGAAATACTCAGGCCAGCCCATCTGGCACCAACAGCCATGAACTTTAGCAAGTCATCTTCAACATGTCTACATGCCTAAATGCATTGAGTTGCTGTCATGTGATTGGCTGATTATCAATTTGTGTTACCAAGCAATTGAACAGGTGTACCTAATAAAGTGGCCGGTGAGTGCATACTTTAAAGCAGATCTTCTTTCCCCCATCCATTCTCTTCAAAATCTTCATACATCATTTAAATAAAATCTGGCCAAATATTACATTTACATATGTCATTGTGCCTTATCCATTTGCTCTGCTTGATATCCCCTTCCCTCTTTCTCCTGCTCGCCACTCCTGCATTTTACAAAATTTACTCCCATTGTAGGCTGGAATTGTTTTATGGGTTTCCTTCTGCCGGCCCAACAATCATGTGTGCCCAAAATCTCTGAATGACTTAACAAAATCTCATGGGATTTTGCTAATTCATTCATTACTATGTGACAGCCCCCTTGCTCACATGACACATTTTCCGCCTCTTTGAGGTTTTATGAGATTTGGCAAGATCTTGTGAGCTCCCACAATTTTGAAACAAAATTTCCTGCAAGGCAGTGGTGATGTGGCCCTTCCAGAAGACATCTGTGTGACCGGAGCAATGTTGACTATTTATGAACACCAAGCAGAGTACCATAAAATAGGGGATTCTGTATTGGGGGGGGGGGTCTTCTTTAAGCAACAATTGTTCTTATTTTACCTTTTGTTTCACCTCAATGATATTTATTCCAGCCTTTTCCCAGAAATTTCTTGTCTGCATGCACTCGCTCCAGTGGAGATTGCATGTCATCTCTCAGGACGACTCCTGGCAGTGATAGCAGCTAGGGGCATAGAGATAGGGGTCGTAGTTGTATCCCAGCCCCATACTCCAAGGGACCTATGTGGCTCCCCTATACCCCTGGATAGAGGGGTAAGCAGGGCCAGCAGATAGAGGAACCAATCCCCTCCATTTTCCTCCTGCAGCCTCTTAAAGCCTATTTCTATTCCTCTCCCTCCCACAGGCATTCAGTGGCTGCAGGAGGAAAATGGAAGGGATCTATGCGACTCTGCCACACCCCCCCATCCAGTTTACTTGTCTCCTGCTGCCCTCAGCCCCCTGTGTGCTCCCCTGGTCCACCCTCCTCCCACAGCACTGGCAGCTTTCCCCTCCCTGCCAGCTGCTGCAGTGGATGTGTCAGGATGGAAAGTGGTACTGATCACTAAATCTCTTCATTCATCACTGAAGCATAGTAAACGGTGTTTACTATGCTTTGGTTTGTGATTGAGAAGGAAGCTCTGTACAGCTGAGACACAGCCCTCAATCTCCTTTCTTTGTCTCAAGAAAAAAATTGTAAAAAAAAAAAATCATAACATGGTAAAAAACAATAGAATAAAATAACAAAAATAAAAAACTGACACCAGTGGCAGAAATACCAGGGTCACAAAGGGTCACCTGCAATCAAGCCCTGGCATTCAGCACCATTGCAAAACATGTGAAAGGGTCCCGCTACAGGTGCTTAATAAAGGGCCTCACGACTGGATCAGTGGGAAGTACCCCGGCTATGGGTCAGGGGGTCCCTTCATGGATTCTTGAAATGGGGGCCCTGAAGGTTTTAGGCTCCATTCACATCTGAGCATAGCATTTTTCAGCTTTTTTGTTGCACACATTTTTT